GAAAATGTATGGGGATAAAGCTATCTTGAATTGGAAGGGTTATGTTTCATCAAAAGTACGTAGAGTACTTCTTCTTCTTCTTCTTCTTCTTCCTCTTCTTCCTCTTCTTCTTCTTCTTCCTCTTCCTCCTCCTCTTCTTCCTCTCCCTCCCCCTCTCCTCCTCTTCCTCTTCTTCCTCTTCTTCCTCTTCTTCCTCTTCTTCTTCTTCCTCCTCTTCCTCCTCTTCCTCTTCCTCCTCTTCCTCTTCCTTTTCCTCCTCTCCTCCTTTTCCTCTTCCTCCTCCTCTCCTCCTCTTCCTCCTCTCCTCCTCTTCCCCCTCTCCTCCTCTTCCTCTTCCTCCCCCTCTTCCTCTTCCTCCCCCTCTCCGCCTCTTCCTCTTTCTCCTCCTCTCCTCCTCTTCCCTTCGTCGGCCTCTTTTCCTCTTCCCATTCGTCGACCTCTCCTCCTCTTCCCATTCGTCGGCCTCTCCTCCTCTTCCCCTTCGTTGGCCTCTCCTCCTCTTCCTCCTCCTCTCCTCCTCTTCCAATCCACCTAGATACTCCTCACAACAGCTTTCAATGCCAACGAGATTCCCCCATACCCATTAAACACACCCGTCCCCTCTCGATCGTCAATTTCCATCGATCAACAATCAAATCGTCATCTCGTTAAATGCAAAACCAGAACCCCAAAGGTTTTAATTACGAACCAGGACTAATTCGGCTTTCATCGATCCAGTCCGCTTCGCTAACTCTCTTTTTTTTCTTTCCTCTCCTACACGAGAGACAGTTCTTCTTCCATAATCGTTCGCATGGTCGAACGATGGACCATTTCCATGGACACTTTCATCCTCCACGATCCCCCATCGATATCAGATTCCCTCTTCGTTTAGGCGAAAGACCCGGTTGTAATCGCGTTTCACGTAGAGACGCGGCTCGATTCCGATCGTTTCGCGGTCTACGACCGGCAGTCTCGTAATTACACGACCGAATGAGCATGCAAGAAGCCGGCCCCGGCGACAAGGTGCAGGATTCTGTTCACCGTGGCAGCGAAAGGGAAGAGGGACAGCGAGAAAATAAAGTGCCCCTCGCGCCGGTCCGAGCCGATATTCATCAAAGTCAGTGATTCAATTAAACGACTAGGATGATTTCTGGAGGGCATTTCTATGCTGCACCCTATGGGAATTGACGATGACGGGTCTTGTAGAGGGGGACAGAGCTCGGCGACACGGTGAAAGAAGCGAAATTCCGATGGGAGAGTCTCTCTATGCAAATTAGATTTATGAGATTAGTCGCGTTGCACGATGAAATTTCAATTTTACTCCGGTGTCACGGGTTCGATGTTGTTTTAGGTGGTTTGACGATTTTTCAGTGTGGTTCGTTACGGATTGGTGAAATGTGACGAGATGTTCTGTTTGAGGACAGTTTGTGGTTGTTGAAGTTAAGTTGAAAGTGTCGCTGGGTTTGCGAATGTTTGATGTTCTGTTTCGAGGTTGAATAGAATTTTTTTTTTATTTGGGAATGTTTTGTTTGGATTGTATGGGAAATTTGGGAATTTGATGGCGATGTTTGTTAAACGTGCTTATACGTGGCATGGCGTTTGTGAAAGTTTGAAGATCTGTTTTGAAGTTAAACAAACTTCTTTTCTCTTATGCAGGAATGTTTTGTTTGAATTATTGTTTAATAGTTGCTTCGATTACGTAAAAAGTTTGTGAAATTTCGATAGGGGTATTTGTTAAATGTGCCTGTTTATTAATAAAATACGAAGTATACGTGATGCTGAGTTTGAGAAGGTTTGAAGATCTGTTTCGAGATTAGATAAAATTCTTCGTTTTTTGTTCAGGAATGTTTTGTTTGAACAAAATAATTACTTTGAGCGTATAATTTATGAAATTGATGAGTACATTTATTAAATGTGGTTGTTTATTAGTAAAAAATGAAGTATACGTGATGCTGGGTTTGAGAAAGTTTGAAGATCTGTTTCGAGGTTGGATAGAATTCGTTTTTTTTTCATTGAACGAAATTTTGTATGAATTGTTGGCCAATAGTTGCTTCGATTATATGAGAAATTTGAGAAATGAATGGTAATACTTGTTAAATGTGCCTGTTTATTAATAAAATATGAAGTATACGTGATGCTGAGTTTGAGAAGGTTTGAAGATCTGTTTCAAGATTAGATAAAAAAATTCTTCGTTTTTTGTTCTGGAATGTTTTGTTTGAACAAAATAGTTACTTTGTGTATATAATTTATGAAATTGATGGCGATATTTGTTGATCGTGCCTGTTTATTGATAAAATACGAAGTATTTGAGAAAGTTTGAAGTTCTGTTTCGAGGTTGGATAAAAGTTTTTTCTTTTCATTTAAGAAAATTTCGTTTGAATTATTGTTCAATAGTTGCTTCGATTATATAAGAAATTTATGAAGTGGATGACAATATTTGTCAGTAATTACAATTTCCTTGTAATCTTTTGTAGTGTCCTTTATCAACAGCTAATAGGTAGGAGTGCAATTACAATATTTGATCAGAATGTCCAATACGGTGTTCATTAACGTGATTTAATTAATTACTTCCTGTATCATGGCAAGCTACTTTGATTTATTAAAGATAAACTGAGTGAGAACAGAAACCAATAGACAATACATCAGAGTCGTAGAACTAATTCAAATTTCAAACAAGCTTGATTACGCAGTGTGTAAATTGGATCTCGTTAATATTCATCTATCGTTCCTTTGTATATTCTCTGTTAATTAACTCCGTATAATTAACAATTAAGACACTAGTAGCGACAAAATATTTAATTTATAATTTTCCGATATGCTTGCAATTGTTTCGAAAATTATTATCATTCGAAAAATTTCGATCTTTGAAGAAAATTTCTTTGACAAATTGAGAAACTATAGTAGAAAGCTAAGAAATTATAGTAAAACGTTAAAAAATTATAGTAAAAAATTAAGGAATTATGTTATTTTCTTTCAAGCTAATTTCTTAAAGAAACTAAAAAAGACAAAGCTTTGGCAAAACAGAATTTTCAAATTTCCAGAAAACCCCCGAAAAATTGTAGAACAAAATTACACACCTTAAAAAATAAAAAAATTACTGCTCCAAACCCTAAAATTCCCTAATTTACTTAAGAATCATCCCGAATTTTCCAAACAAACCGAACAATTCCCCAATATTTCCAATACTCCCGAAGATACAACACTTTCCAAGAATGCCACCCGGTCTGAACTTTTACCACTTACCTGTCCGGGCACGTAAATTCGCGCACTTGCACGCGTTTAAATCGAACAAAGCAAGAAGCCAAAGAGGAGGAAGGAGGGCAGAAAGAAAAAAAAAAGGGGGGACGGCGAGGCGCAACTTGTGCGTACGTAGATTGCAGGATGAGAGGTGCCCTCGTCCTTCTCCTCCTAGCGTAGATAATGCGTGTGAGCATCCGGCTGACGGAATGCGTGTTGCGGGACGATTTGCTTAATACCTTGAAAATAAATCGCGAACGTGTTTCCACCGCGTGTATATACGTACGTACGGACATCCTACATCCTCGCACGATGCAATCGTACATTTGTACAGAGCGAAGACGAATCGAATTATGTAACGGAGGAAACATTAAATACGTATTTGCGATCCGTTACGCGTACGATAAGGGAGTTACATCGACGTTACATGTCAAGGATTTAATTGCCAACGATTTCGTGGAATATATACAGGGTGGGCTATGTGAAACAGGCCACATAAATTGTCTTCTCTAAATATTGTGCTGTTCGTAGCGACATTTAGCCCCTTAACGTATGATTTCTTTTCTGACTTTGCATCTAAGCGTCAGCCATTTTACTGTTTCAGTACTGTATCGGGTAACTAAAGCTAATCTGTCACAGATTAATCACATTTAGCAATCCTTAGTCTTACAAATTCATACGAAAGTTAGGATTACAATGAATTTTTCTTACTAATATAACTATTTCTTTTTACATCTGGATAAAAATCTCTGCCACGAGTCTGACACGTTGTCATATGTTAAGGGGTTAAACAGTCGCACAGGGGCAGATTTGACCGAAATCCTGCCCAAAAGTGATATTTCTAAATCTGAGAAAAGTTATCTTGTTAAATTGCCATAATATGACTTTAAAATGATAATTTACTTATTTAACGTTAATTATTGAGTATAAAAATGTAATGCTAAACCATAAAGTTACTTTCGATTCTGGTATGAAAATATCACATTTTAAAGATAACCACTTTGAGATCGCATATCTCCAAGAGGATTGATTAAGATACCTCTTAATAGCTACAGCAATAGGAGAAAATTTTTGTACGTAATTTAAATGGTTTCAAAGGATTAAAAGAGGTGGAAGACAAAGTTTTTTAAATTTACCACTTTTTCTATTTTGTGTTTTTCAAGGTCACCTATGTTTTTTCACACGAATGTATACCTTATGTTTTAGCAGACATTGTACAATAATATCACCTTAAAATGACCTTGGACTTTAAAATTTTAAATCAAACGTGAAACTTTCTTTCATTTTTCATGGAAGAAATGGCAAAAAATGAAAAGAAGCATCACATTTGATTTAAAATTTTAGAGTCCAAGGTCATATTATGCATATTTAACCCTCCATAGGCAAATATACTTTTTCACACTCCATAACTGGTTCCTTAACGTCCAAATCTAATTTTGTACTGTTCTGGGCTTTCAAAAAATCTGAAAAAATTTTGAGATACTTATCACAGTCTCTACTGTATCGTACAGTTGTTCGAGTTAAGTGTTCAGAACTGTTTTCGATAAAAGTACAAATTAATTTCGAAGAATCCTCGAGTGAAATTTCGCTTGGGTCATTAGTGACCCAAATTGTTTACGGAGAGTTAAACGAGATTAAATATATATACATTCGTGAAAAAAACATAGGTGACCTTGAAAAAAAGAAAACAGAAAAATGGCATTTGGGTGCTTGAATTACGTATACAAAATTTTCTCGTACAATTCGGACAATTTCTCGGAAAATTTATCTGATACAATTTTCAGCGGAACTCGGGGATTACGATCCAAGACGACATTCCGTGGGCTACGTCACCGAATTTCGATTCTTGGCGAATCAGACCACGGAACTGGAGAACCGTATAGTGGAACTTCATAAAACTCTCGTGTAAGTGTCGAAAAAAAGAAAATTCTCAAATATCAACGCAGGAAAATTATCGCAAAATCTCGTAATTTTTAATTTCCAATCAACTCCCGCAAGATTTAATTACTGTATTCCATCAGAGAAGTTGAAATAATCAAATTACTCTGTGAATTTAAGGAACAAAATTTTTACTCGAATGAAATTAAACTAATTTGCATCTTTCGCAGTAACAAAAATTTCGTGTAAAAAAATCACGCCGTAATAAGAAAACACTTCGATTTCAGAACACGCGATTAACAATGGCGGCAATTTAGTGTAACAATGACCTGGTTTTTTCAGAGGACAATTACCTTCCGCGGCGGAGCTGAATTATCTGGACAAGGTGAAATGGCTGGAAATGTACGGGGTCGATTTGCATCCTGTGTTGGTAGGTGTTTCCATTTCCAACGAACAAAGACTTTCGGTGTCATAACGAGACACGATAATCTCTCGAAATCCCGTAATCTCTGTCCGCAGGGCGAGGATAGCGTGGAGTATTTTCTGGGCCTTACACCGAGCGGTATTATTCTGTTGCGCAACAAGACCAAAGTGGGAAATTACTATTGGCCTCGAATCAATAAGATCTATTATAAGGTAAGCAAACGTCGCGTGGTAATACTTCTGGAGAGTTTTATCAACTGGATAAATAAGTGTCGTGTGTTCTGTGAAATATTTCCATGTACAGTTACTCTCAAAAATATTGGAACGCTATTAACCCTCCGTAGGTAATCTGGGTCTTTTATGACCCAAGTGAAATTTCACTCTTGTGTTTCTTCCAAAGGAATTTGTATTTTTATCGAAAAAAGTTTGAAACATTTGACTTAACGAATAATTGTACAATGTTGCGGAGACTTTGATAGGTACTCCGGAATTTTTTCTGATTTTCTGGTAAGCTTAACACAGTAGGAACATTAGACTTGGACATGAATTACCCAGTTTTCACAGTTTAGAGTGTGAAAAAATATGTTTGCCTACGAACTTAATTACGTCAGTGGGTATAATTTTGAAAAGGATCAGAGAAATAAGAACGATGCTTCTGTGAGTATTAAGTTTACCTACGGAGGGTTAAACATGGCGCAGGCCAAAGTGTGCACAATATTTGGAATATCGTTAATACGAATAATACGAAGATTACACTATAAATACTCAAAATATTCAGTTTTGTAGATGGACATAATTTACAAATCTGTAATATCTGTGGAAAATGATAATAGATACACCAACAGGATTTATACACGAAGTAAAATAAACAATCAACGCCATTTATACAGAGTGTCCCTGTTTTTCAAAAACATGCCATATTTTTTTATTTGTTTCTTTATTTATTTTTATTTATTTCCCATAAATTTCGTTATTTATTGCTTTAATATCGTTAATACCTTTTGCTGTTATCAAGATTATATTCCCTCGAAATTATATCAAAAGTTGATCGTCTAAGTCAGGTGTCGGCAAACTGAGGCCCGCCATCAGCTTTTTATGGCCTGCGAGTTATGTCTATGATCCAAGAATCAGATTCGCTATAGGCCAGCATTGACAAATTGCAACCAACTTTGACGATAGGAACTACAAAGCTTCAACTACAGTTAAATGAAATATTACCCAAAAAGAAAGAATTCCATATTTCTCATTAATAAATGTGTATTACAAATAATATTACAAATAAAGGATTTGTGAAAAAATTTTAATTTGTAGCTAACTACCTACATACATACACTACCGGCCAAAAGTTTGGAATCAGTGAGCATTGCAATTTACATAAAAATTTCCAGAAAAAAGTCAACGACTTTGAGAACTTTTTATCGTTCGAATCAATTGATATGAGATAAATTGATAAATGTAGAATTGAGATAAACTTAGAATCTATAAAAAATTAGCAGCAGATTTAGTATCGATGAAAACTGGGAGATGATTCCAAACTTTATGCCAGTAATGTACATACCTAATAATCTCAATTTTCTCTCTTGGCCCACAAAGCCAAAAAATATTTAGATCTGGCCCTCCAGAAAAAAAAAAGGTTTGCCGACCCCTGGTTAAAAAATTGTTACACATATGAAAACATATCTTCGGGTGAAAAAAGACCCGAACTCTCTTAAGTGTACAATCAAACGAAAAGAACCCACTAGAGGTAAAAATTCCCCTGAAATCGTTCGACTTCCTCTTGCAGGGCAGATACTTCATGCTCCGAGTGAGCGAGAAGAATTCCGAGGAGAGGACGCACGGTTTCGAGACTCCCTCCAAAGGTGCCTGCAGACATCTGTGGAAATGTTGCCTGGAACACCAGGCGTTTTTCCGATTGATGGCCACCGGGCCACCGCCTCTCAGTCCTTACTCCCGTTTCCGCTCGTACAGCCCTCCGTCTGGATCCGAGAAGCACACGGTGATCAGACGGAATCCTCCGCCAGTTTTCCAGAGGACACCCAGCCGAAGAGCTCAAAGACGCGTCGTCGAGGGCCAAGAGATGGTCGGCCCGTTCGTCGAAACACCTGCCACGGTGAACTCGAATCCGAGCAGCAATCCGGCCAGCAGCAACGTTTTGTGCAATACTCAGAACGCGAGACAGGTGAACAACTCGAGTCCAAGGAGCACCAGGAGCGCACCGTGGACTCAGAGCCAACCTCGAGGCCTTTATACCTCGTCTAGTCCTCGGTCCGTTCGCTCCGCGGGAACGGCACCGGCAGTACGTTTTTTAAAATATTGTTCGATGCTGGCGCACCTGTTCGTGAAAAGGAACTTAACCATTCGAGTGCCAAGTATTCTGCTATATATATAAAAGTGTCACCTTATCGGGCCACGAAGTGTAAATTTTATTCTGTTTCTTACAACCTGTCTATTTTAAAAAATTGAACAAAGATCCTGCGCATAATCAATGTTGCCTTTGTTTTCTCGGTGAGAATGTCCGAAACAAAATTTTTCGAACGTTTAGACGTCAAATGAAAGAAGCGCGATCGCGCCGTATAAAAATATCAATTTAATTAATTTAGTAAGTAGAATTAAATTGAAAAATATTTAATTAACTTTTATGAAACAAGTATTTTGGCGCCGCTTGCCACTTTTCGGTCAGATTTCTGCAACAACCCGTGGCACTCAAAAGGTTAAACGCTTCTCGTTTATTAGAGGACTCTTTGTAAGATAAAGAAGAGTAATTCAATGGAGTGGCTGTCTCCGTTTCCGGTTTAGCTCAGACTGCTAATCGATTAGTATCGGTCGTAACGACCAGCAGGCTGTGAGATTGTACACTGGTGCTAGCAACAATATTGTCAGTTTGCCAAGATGTTTGTAGTGTGATGTTGATAATTTAGCTATGCTTTTTGTGTAGAGGAATTTTGTTGGTCATGGTCCTGGTTTTTGTTTTCTTATCTGATTTAGCAAGATACTTTAGTTGCTGTCGTGTCCATTTGAAGCAAATTTGATTTGTTCGTGGTAAGGTGTGTAAAGTGATTATAAAAAATCCATGGAATGTGTAGATTTTGGAAAAATTGATACACCGTATTCTTAATATTGTAATATTCTCCTTTATCGACGGGAAGAATTTAAAAAAAAAAAATGAGTGGTAGGGGTAAATTTTGAAAAAAGTACGTAGGATATTAAAAATCATACAACTTTGAATTTGAATTTTCTTCCATGTCTTGGACAGTTTTGTTTGAATATTGTACTAAGTTACAATAAAATAGATAATATTAAAAAGGACGATATGGTACTTAAAAGAAGAATGTAAATTATTACAGTAAGTTATAGTAAAAAGGACGAATTGGCTCTTTCGTGTAATTCTAACGCATCGATATTTTTACAATACGTATATTTATTTAGCCTTAATATTTTTTTACCAAAATTTCACGCGCTTGATTTCTCGGTATTCGACGATTTTTCAGCTCTTGAGCAGACTCCAACGACGGAGCAGCTCTGTGGAGAGCCAAAGTTCAGGGGACAGTCATAGCCGTGGTGGTCATCGTAGAAGGAGTCATAGTCATAGTCATCGAAGACACAGTCGCCACTCTGATTGTGAGTCCGAGCTTTCGAGAGGCTCGGATACCAGGTCGGGCCATCGTAAGCATCGCAGAAAGCACAGGAGTACCCGTTCATCCAGGTATATCATTATATTCTCTGTAACATACACGGTGTCCCAATTCTTCTCGACCAAGCTCTCTCAGTTTGTTCGACGGGCATGAGAGAAAAATCGTTTGAAATTTTGTTAAACATATTGCTCATTTCACGTTGAAAAGAGGAACTGAAGAAACTTTACTAAGCTCCCTATCTTAATTTAAACAATACTAATTATTTCGATCTCTGCATTTTTTATATAAATTTCATAATGACACATTGATAGTCATATCAACGATACGATAGCATTGTCATTATTTCCATTTTGTACTGTCTGTATACAAGGTGTAATTTCAAAAATTACTATTCTAATAATTTCTTCAAATCTTTTTCTAATTCAACTTTTGCCTATACCAGTCGACGCACTTCGATGAAATTCCCCCAAATTGATCTCACGCTCGTCGTCCTGATCTCACGAGAATTACTCGAAAGAACACGTTTGAAAACTGCAAAAACGAACACCGTAGAAAATTCCTTACGAAACGTAAGTTCAACTTAATCCCGACCTCGTTACGTTCGCCTCCTCCGTATATCAACACGGTTAAGCGTCTAAAACGTGCTTAGCTATCTAATTGGTAATTAATCGACGTAATAAAGGCCCCTTAGACGGTGATGAAATTACTCGAAAGAACACGTTTGAAAACTGCAAAAACGAACACCGTAGAAAATTCCTTACGAAACGTAAGTTCGACTTAATCCCGACCTCGTTACGTTCGCCTCCTCCGTATATCAACACGGTTAAGCGTCCAAAACGTGCTTAGCTATCTAATTGGTAATTAATCGACGTAATAAAGGCCCCTTAGACGGTGATGTGAAAACGAAATAACTTGGCAGAACGTCTTGAGCGAGTTCGTCGACCGTGAGGACGGGAAAGAAACCCTCGTACTCATTATACTCTCACGGTAGGGTACATAGAGCGCGTAAAGGTGATAATTATTTTAATGACGACGCGCCTGGGAAATATCAACCACGGTCAACGAAATCTTCCGACGCGATGCTTTCACGTTTTCAATGAAAAAGAAAAAAAAAAAAGAACACGGTTTATACTTGTTACGTTATACACGTGTAAATACGTATGATTTCCAAGTTAAACTACATTAACGTATATATACACACGTACACACACGGTGTGTGAATCTTTTCAGACACGAATTGGTCGATTCTGAGCCGCAATGGAGGGAAGCGCAGAAGAGGAAGGGCGAAGGAGTTCAACGGGCTGTTGTAAGTTTAAATAACCAACCTGATTCTTCTGCCTCGCGACATTCAGAAATTCTTTTCTATATTACCACGACCCCCTTGCAATTTTTCGTACGATTCTTTTTTATTACAATGCACGATTAAAAGGGCGAACATTTTTTGAATAGGTGAGCCACACAGAGCCAAGAAGAAGGCACAGGAGTAGACATCGGAGTCCTTCACAAAAGCAACCGCTGCCAGACGAGCTTAGGAAGTACGTTCTATTCATGAAATTGTAACATGCATAAAATAATTGTTCTCTAAAATTGATATACATATATATTTTTCATATTTCCACGTACTGTTTGTTCAGATTAAGAATAAAAACACAAGAATTGTTTGATTTGGAGGGGTAAGTATAATGTACCATTTCTGATATTATTCTCTGTATAGTTGTCGATATTATACTTGTATTATATTCACGATATATGTGATTGTTATACGAGATGCATGAGAACGAGATGATTGGAAATAAATTTTACCTGCCTTGACAAATGCCTTCTTTGTAGAGTGATACCGATTGGAGCAACAATAACTGTTTTACCATTTGACATTCGAATCGTTTGTAAATATTAATTTTAACAACGTTTTTGTATCATACACGTATTTTTTTTTTTTGTATTATATTTCACCCTCCAAATTAAGGAAGAGAAAAAGAAACTGTATTCGATGTACATAAGAATTAGTCAGTCTACGTGTTACTAATTTATTATAATCACTTCTCTGGTGTGAATATATATACATATATGATAATGCTTGAATAATTTTCACAAGGCAATTTTGCACAATAGTTTGTTACACAAGGCAGTATACGCAAAAGTGAATGAATTACTCTTATCTTAACGTAATATCATGTAAAACAATGAAACAATGGCTGATTTTACAGACACTTGGAGTTTGGGCTAGTCGATACCACTGGAATGAGCGAACAGCAACGACGAGAGATACCATATACGGTGGTTCAATCGCAATCTGTACAGCAATGTACCCTACAGTCTAGCAATTCTCGATTGGACGACGCAGACTCGTCGTCCCTACCTAGGTACGATGATCTCAAGACGGCCTGCAACGTCCACAGTCATCCTCCTCAGCTGGAGGATGAGACGGGATCCGTAGTCATTGTTTGAAAATTTCCCCCTCTGCATGCGGTGATTTTTTTTTTTTTGTATTTTTTTCAATTTTTTTTTTTCTTCCTTTTAATTTATTCAGAGCATGTACATGATCTACTTTTAAGCATGCCCCCTTATTATTTATTTGAAGCATGACAGGTTCTTAATAAATCGATGAAAATTAACAGCTTGTCGCACCTGTTTATTTATTTCCTGGCTGGCACCTCTACTGATGCTTTTCGCTATTTCATGGAATAACGTTGCTGTTCCATGATGGAAGTACGCCCTAAAAAAGGAAGCAAGAATACGTAGCATTTTGTTCGTGTGTGTTCTCTGTTGAAATGTTTTTTCTTTTTGTTTTTGTGTACTTTTTGTATGGTAATAATGCATCGTGTTAATCGTTTAAGTAAATGTGAATTCGGTATCTGGGAGTGTGTCGAAGTTCTGGTAAAACGAGATCGATTGTGTCCAACCATCGAGATGAAGAATCTCATTTGTTGTGTCTGTTCACACGAATTTTTTTGAATCCTACCCACACCACCACCACCACCACTACCCCGTTTAGGTAGCCGGTATAATATTGTTGTTGAAAATACTTGTAGACCCCTTGAATACATTGGCGTATGTAAATCGTGATCGACGAATGGAAAAATTGTTGCGTAAAACTTAGTGTTGTAATGTGAATAAAAATATGTGTATCGCTAAGGAATGCAATTGTGGCTCGTAGTATGTATTAACAATGTTATGAACGTTTGGTAAACTAAAACGTATTACATATGCATCGATGTCGTAATGGTGTCCGATCAGGGATGTGCTTGAAATTTGCCGTGATATCCCGAGACTGTCAAGGAATCACTTTCAGAACGATCGGATCCATTGGCAAAAGAAACAGAAGAATGATACAACATTGTCGCGACGGAAGTTATAATTTGCCACCAACCAGGCCGAGTCAAGTCGAGACTAAGTACTACGATGGTAGTAGGAGCGAGTGCAATATGAAGAAGGACTTTTATTATATTCGTAACAGCAGAATATTGATAGGAAGTAACGTGGACAGTGGGCTCGGGGAAAGTACACCGCAGGAATTTTCAAGTTGCTGCTCAAGCTCTGCCGACAGCGCTAAGCCTACTCGTGTAGTACGTATTTTTTCGCTTGCTCTTTTATAATAACAACGTACGTTCATTCGTTAGTCCATTTTGGTCACCAGTTTTGGTTTCAAGTGTAACTCATTATTTTCTACGCTATAATTTTCTTTCGTTACATTGCTGTTTCAAAATAAAGAAATATTACGAGAGAAAGTAATGGGTAACACTTTTGCTTCGAGTAGTTCAAGCTTGTTGCTTTTAAGAGAGAAAAAAGGATTATCGTAATCTTAAGTTATAGATGAAATTATCTTTATTAAAATCGCACTTATCATACGAAAATCTTTTAGACACACTAAACGCTTTTTACAAATATATGTGGTTAAGGCTTGCTACCTTCTTCTCTGCTAGTCACAGCATTTTATTATATCTGTTTTTTTTTTCTGCCCTTTTAATTAAAAAGTGGTGAGATTGTTTTTCGATGAAATGCTGTTACTAGAATGTAGTGTGTTGTATCGTACAATTTTCTGCGTAGTAAATTAGTAAAATAGTTTTGTTTGGTATAGCCGCAAATGCAATTAGGGGGAGAGGTACGCTATGAACTGTCTTCAAATCAAGAAACCTACCCTCCTGTTGATACTACTCTGGATGCTGTTCTTCAGCCCATTATATCGTAAGTGCTTCTTTTCATTGCTTTGTGCTTCCCTCTTACGATAATATCCAGTAAGAAATTAAAATTAAGTTTGGCTTCATTAATAACTAATGCATTACATGCTGCTATTATAGACACACCCAATTACACTTTCTGAAAAGTATTGGTTTTCAAGTAAATTCTAGTTACATTTTTATATTTTTTATGATTTATTTCAAAGATTTATTTTTAAATAAGTGATTGCTTATATGATACATTCTGTTTTATAATGTTTCAGAACTTTAACAAGGAGACAACGGAACCGCCCGAAATGAGTATGAAGCTTTAAATAAATACAAAATAGACATTTATGCACATATTGTATATTTAAGAAAGTTTTTATACCTCATTCAAATTAAATATCTATAATCCCATCAGTCACTGAATCTTATGAAATGAAACATAAACAATTCATTAAATGCGCAGCACTTTTATTCCTTGATTAAAAAAAGTGTCCCTAATCTTATCTAGTCCTTGTTTAGCTCTCTTTAGATGCCATGTGCCTCATCAGATTTCCTATAAATTTTTCCATCTTCTTTAAATCCTGTGCTATTTCTGTTTTGTATTGTAGGCACTATGAAACAAAAATTATAAATGTATTATTTAAATAGATCTGTAAGAATTATAAGGTAAGTTGTATAACGAGAAAGCTTACTGTTCGATTATCTGTAAGTTTTAGACATAGAACACCTTTATTATGGCAATATTTCATTGTATACCGAGCCTAAAACAAAACAAAAAAATAATAAATTATAAACTTATGATTATTAAACTATTTATAAATATATTATTTG